CAGAGACTCTGAGCCAGGACTTCTTGTCCAACATCAGTGTCTGACCTCACAAATGTGCTTCTGGAAGAACGGTCAAAAAATTCCTATAAACACTCCTAAATCTTTGGAAAGCCTTCCCATAAGAGTTTAAGCTGCCACAGTTGGACCTACATCATATTAAACCTCAAGGATTGAGAATGAGATGCCGCTCAAGTTCATATGTGTATGAAGTTAGACGAGTGAACGCTTTTGGCAATAAAGTGTCATTTGCAAGCAAAGTGTGAACAGATGTTTCAAAGATTTTAGGTGCTTCTCAGTTTTACTCAGCGAGGTCCAGGAAACAAACCGAACATTTCATCTGTACATCTGCACCAATTTACTGAAGAGTGTAATACTCAATCTGAGACACTCATTTAGACTTAACCCATTTTTTGTTTCATCGTCAACAATCAACTCTACACATAAATATTTGATGAACGCCTTTCCTCACATGCCCTCCTTCTTCTCATGCACTTACACAAGACAGTGACACAAACTATCAGGAAGATCCCAAACTGACAGCAGACTCCGATTGCAATCCACATCCAACAGGAGAGTCCCAGTGGGCAATCGTTGGCAGTACCTGAATGCAACACAGATCATTGGAGAAAGTGAGAAAGACAAGAATGAGTTACACATTCAGCAAAGGATCACTTTGATCAAATTTGCAGACACTTTGCAAAAGCTGGACGCACATGTTGTACATGTTGTACATGTTGTCTTCTGAACACTCGTTACAAACAATGTGACGTTCTTACGGGTGGTTGGTGGAGTTGTTGTAGTTGTTGTAGTTGGAGGCTCTGAAGAACAAAAACACACATCTTTATGTTTCTTTGCACCACATATGCACACACAGGTCTTCATTCCTAGTGCCTGTGTATTACCTTTGACTGTGATGGTCAGACTCTGACTAAACTTATTGCTGCCACAGGTGACGATACACTCCCAGGCCCCGTTATGTGAGCTTGTTACAGGTTTCAGTTGAACTGTTGATGGATTTGTGGGTGACTTTGTATTTGGACTCTGCCACTTCACTTCACATCCTTGGGGCTGACCTTTCACCTCACACTGGAGCGTTGCCTCATCGTTCAGCTTGAGAACAGCAGAGGGATGAACGGAGACGGAAACTGAGAAGGAGAACAGACGGACAACAACAGATACAGTGAGAATCACAAAGACAAAGGGAGACCATGCTGAACAAGGTGCTTCATCCAAACTCGCTACACACATGACAAAGCTTCATAACATGAGAGGAAAACAATGAGAGCATATTACACTAAGTATTAAAGGAAATGTGGTAACTCTTTCACACATTGGAACATTTTTGGTGATATGAAAATATCATAGATAACCATTTAACTGTAGAGGGATTG